TCTGCTATCCTGCTGGCCATGTGCCGACCTATCTCGGCTGCTGCTTCAGTTACCGCTTCGGCATCGGCCCCGTAACATTCCAACATCAAGCATTTTTCTGGATCACTCTCGCATTCCCGCAGTAACGCTCCTCTCAGTGCCCCCTCTATCGTCTCCTTGGCTCGCCTTCCACCTACAAACGCGTACAAAAACGGCCGGTCGTGGTCCCGAACGTGATCTATCCAACCCTGCAGGTCTGCCGAGCCTACTGGATGAAACGACGTTGGGTAAGGAATGGAAAACACCTCTCTCCCATACCACTCCCTTGTCGCCTCTACAGTAAGCAGTGTGACATTATTGAAGGTCGGTCGCCACCACAGGTCCGATCCCCACTCCGCCACCCGCCTAAAATCCCATATCGGCCGGCCCAGCACCAGCACGTGATTTCCCTGATCCACGAGCCTCTTGAAATCCGGGTTTTCTTCCAAAAGAAAGCGCTCGAGTTCGATTCCCGGCTGGTCCCTATCTACGAAGAGCCCGTGCTCCACGAGCGACCAGATCGACCAGCCCAGGTAGGCTGGGATGAACAGAAAATCCGCCGAGTCTGGGTCGGAGGTTCGGCAGGGGTGCTGCAGGAGACGCGAGTGGAAAATCTCCTCGTTATTGGAACTGTCGGTTAAAAACCATTGATTTCGCCAGCCCTCGCTAGCGAAAGCATTCCTGCTGCTGCTTCTGCTTGTCGTTACACTGCTGCTTTCTTTGCTGGAACTCCCGTTACTGTGGCTTTCTACCGCATCGTCCCAGAGCCCGAGCCTCGTGCCCAGCCCGTCGTGCCGGCTGGTGAGGCAGAAGCCCTTGATGCGGCTCTCCACGCAGTCGTCCACCATCCACCGGTTGAAGCGCGCGGGCAGCGGATACACGTACAGCTTGCGCCCCGTGCACGCCGCGCCGAATGCCGCGGCTGGGATATCGTCTCGAGAAACGGCGGGTGCTGCTGGGATATCGTCTCGAGAAACAGCGGGTGCTGCTGGGATATCGTCTCGAGAAAACAGCGGGTGCTGCTGGGATATCGTCTCGAGAAACGGCGGGTGCTGCTGGGGTATTGTCTCGCGAAACGGCGGGTGCTGCTGGGGTATTGTCTCGCGAAACGGCGGGTGCTGCTGGGGTATTGTCTCGCGAAACGGCGGGTGCTGCTGAGGTATTGTCTCGCGAAACGGCGGGTGCTGCTGAGGTATCTTCGCGAGAAACGGCGGGTCCCGCTGGGATATTGTCTCGAGAAACGGCAGATCCTGCTGAGATATCGCGAGAAGCGGGTCCCGCTGTTGTGGCATTAACCGTCGCGAACTTTTTGTTATCGCTGGTACCTCCATTACCGCTGGCCCCGCCCTTTCCCCTACCACCGTTGCCGCCGCTGTCGACTGCGCGCGAGGCGTCCGGGCTATTTTTGTTACTGCTGCTGCCGCTGCTGCTGCTGGAGGGCATAACGACGTTCTTTCGGTGCTTGCGGTTGCCTGTGGTTGGCTCTTTTTGAGGCGCCTCAAAAATCGTGCTGCCGTTGCTGCTGCTGGAGGGCATAGCGACGTTCTTTCGGTGCTTGCGGTTCCCTCTGCTTGGCTCTGCGCCCCCATCTGCTTCGTTCCCTGCTTCTCATCCTCCTGTTGCGGAGGTGTCTTGTCTTGCTCCTGAATCAGCTCCTCATTTTTCCCACGCAGCTCGTCCTGCTTTTGAGTCGAGTCAAAAGTAGGTGCCTTCACCTGTTCCCGAATCGGCTCCTCATTTCCCCCACGCAGCTGCTCCTGCGTCCCCGATCTCGCGTTCTTCGTTCTCCAATCCCCTTTCTGTCGCACCTGCTGCGTCGATTTCTCCGCTATCGCTGATTTTCCCCAGTCCGGGGCTGGCTGCCCGGTCCCCTCGGGGGCGTGCTGGCCGACTCGCAGGACCGTTATTTGCATGCTCGTTTCAGGCCATTTCGAGTCAAGCATAACCTCCGTGTCACCAGAACGGGCGGCGGAAGAGTCGGCGGAAGAGTCAGCGGAAGAGACGGCCGAAGAGACGGCGGAAGAGGCGGCAGAATGAACGGAGTCTGCATTCTGGCCGTGCTGCTGCTGCTGCTCTGGACGGCTTTCCATTGGAATGAGCTTAAGCGGCGGTCCGAGGGCTGCGAAGTAGACGAGTAAAAGGAGGACGCCAATAGCGGAGCATGAGGTGTGCGATAGTGGGAAAGGGAACTGAGACGGTTTTTCGCGGTACCGCCCCATGCTGGAAGGCGGTAGCGGCGGTAATCAGACGAGAATATTAGGGTACGAAAAAAAGATATTTAGGAAAACTGGTAAATTCAAAGACGCCTCATCGTCTCGGCACGGTCAGGAAGGGCGAATTTCGGCAGCGTTACGACGACGCACTACGGAGGACCAAGATACTACTAATTCCAGCCTCGGAACGCAGCTCAGTTTCCGAGAGTGATTCAACCTGCCGACTCTTGATGTATATGCAGCAATCTCGCAACAAACGAAGCTAAGGCCCCTCCCTACGCTCCCATCCCCTCTCGCTTCCCGGAACGTAGGAAGGGGGCTCGAGAAGGGAAGGGAGTAGAGGAGCTAGCACCGAGGGGCGCTGGTTGGTATTCGGATCGGATGCGAGGGATGAGTAGTGGACACCTCAGGAAAGAAAACCTACTAAACCATTTAAGAATAATATGAAAACGTCTTGAACGTTTTTCACCCTAGTCAACCGCAATAAGACACACCCTCGGGGAAACGCCCTCAGAGCGCTCGTAGGGTATCGCCTTGAAGGGGTAGGCACTGTACACCCCCCTGCCAAAATCCCGTGTGATGGAAAAAATCGCGCCTCCGGCATCAAAATTGCATTTGCATCTCGAGGCGCACATGCATTTGCAAGGCAGACCAATTGCTGTTGCGCGGATTCCGGTGGGGCAGCAGGCGTGGCTACCCATCGTCGACAAACATTGCCAGCCCCTCCTTTGACGAAGCGGATTGGATGGCCTTAACCGCAAAATTCGCGAAGGGGAGTTTCAAGCTGACCCTGAAAACACGGTTCAGCCTTTTGATTCGTCGAAAACTCGGCTCGAACGCTCACATAAAAAGCTTATAGAGGGAATTGCGGCAGAAACACTCCCATCCAGCTACGTTGTTATGCCACATAGTTTCACATCCCCAATCAGCCACAAAAAAGATGTGACATGTAATTTTTTGAAAGCGTGTAACACTTTCTAAAAAATGTGTATTGTGAAAGTGTAGCGAGGGCCAACGCAGCAAGGTCAGCGTCGAAGCGCTACTCACCCTCTTTTGCCTACAAATGAGGGACGTGAGGCCATTCGACCTCACCCACGTTCTTCATTTCTAGTTCCAGTTTCGTTTTCCAGTTCTCGTCCTAGTTCTAGTCTCCTTATTCTCGCCCAAGCTGGCGAAAACCCAGTCTCTTCCGCGCTTCAAAGCTCCGACAACGCTCCTCACCGACATTCTGCAGCACAATATTACCGCGATGACTTCCGCCAATTCTGCTCCGGCGCGCGCGGTGAATAACATTTCTACCCCCGCTAACGCCCAGGCGCTCGGAACTTCGCCCGGGGGAACCGACCGACGTCAGAAACGTCCTGCTGAGGACAATTTTGGCGAGGGCCCCTCGGCAGTCGAGATTCTGCTCGGCGGCAGTCACGCTGCTCCAGAAGAAACTCGCGCGGCTGCTTTGCAGCCGCGCATGCAGGCAACGGAAAGTCCACGCGCCAGCCCGAGGCGCGTCGCCTGCAGGCCAGGCGGGCCCCACCACCCAGCACGCGCCTGCCGCCGACCCCGCGCCAACCGCCGCCGCCCCCGCCTTGACTGCGCACCAGCTGCAAGCGCTTTTGGCGCTGTTACAGCAGCAAGCTCCTACTGTTACAGTCGGAACCTCATCCGATAACGCTGCACCTACGACCAATTTTAACAAAAAGAAAGGAATGGCTACCCATCCTCGCATGCCCAAGGCTCCCCGCGCCGACGACCAGCCCCCGGCACCAACTCCCGCACCCGCTGACAACCCCGATGACAGCGACGACTCCGAAAATGACGATGGTGAGGGTCCCGCCAACATTGCTCGTCGTCGTATCCTCGCACCCGCCCCCCCCCTTCCCCCCCTTGGCCCCACGCCCGCAGCTACTACCTTCATGCGCAAGGGCGTACGCGACCAGGCCGAGGTCTTCACTGCCATCGAAGCGTACCTGAAGCATATCGACTTCAAGCTGCAGCACGGCGACGTCGTCGGCGCACTCAACAACGTAAAGGATATCGAAATACTTATTAATAAGCGTTTCCAAGTCCTTCTCGTTGCGGACGAAGCCGGTTTCGAGGCCGCTGACCGGTTCCAGCTCTATCAGTCCAAAAGTGTCCTGACATCCCGCTCCTACAAGCTGGCGGTCGCGGATGTGGCAGCGCTCAAGCGTGCACGCCTCGGCTATACGCGCGGCGGCCGTCCCGGTGGTCGCGACACGGACTCGGACATCAAGGGCTCCCCCCCTGCTACGTGCCAGCAGCCGCGCTTCAAGGGAGTCTGCTTTCGCTGTGGCCAACCAGGCCACATGGCCAATGCATGCCACATGGGAGGGCGTGGTGCGCAAGGTCCCTCACCGGTGGTGTGAGCGGTTGATAGGGCGGCGCCCTTTCCCACATGCAAGAGGCATAGTGGGTTGCACGGTAGGTGCATGGCCGGTGGCCAGCCTTTTGCCAAAGGCAAGGAGTCTTCGCTGACTAGGGTGGCCCTTGGGGACAGCAAAGGCTGATAGGCCTAGGCTTGTAATAATTCCTATGATTGAATTAAAGGCTCGACCGTGTCACGGCCATCCGGTTTTTTCCAAAAAAAAAAAAAAAAAAAAAAAAAACCCTTGAGGGGGTTGGGAGGAGGGAGGGGGCTACAAAACTCAGTCAACATGGCTGGTCAGCCTTGAGCATGGCCTCCGACCCCTCACTTTTTCTTTGCCGACCACGCAACACGCCCCGAGAGCTAACCATGGAGGCACGCTCGGCACCCAACAAAATGGTGCGCACGCACGCACTCGGAGATGCACTATTTAAGAGCCAAGGACAGAGTCTAGGAGCTCAAAGCTAACACAAAGAGTGGCCCAAACAAGGAGAGTAAAAGAAGAAGGAGGAAGAAATGTAAGCCAACCACCAACGAGCACCAACGCGCTTAAAAAATGTTCACGTACGAACACAGCACGTGATGTCTTCGCACGCAAAGGAAAGAGGGAAAGAGGGAGATCAAGAGATGGAGAGAGAGAGAAATAGCAAGCGAGAGGAGAGAAAGAGAGAGAGAGAGAGAGGGAGAGAGAGAGAAGAGAGAGGAGAGAGAGAGAGAGAGAGAGAGAGAGAGAGGAGAGGAGAGAGGAGAGAGGAGAGAGAGGAGAGGGAGAGAGAGAGAGAGAGGAGAAGGAGAGAGAGGAGAGAGAGAGAGAGAGAGAGAGAGAGAGGGAGGAGAGAGAGGAGAGAGATAGGAGAGAGAGAGAGAGAGAGAGAGAGAGAGAGAGAGAGAGAGGAGAGAGAGAGAGAGGAGGAGAGAGGAGAGAGAGAGAGAAAGAGGGAGAGAGGAGAGAGAGAGGGGAGAGAGAGAGAGAGGAGAGGAGGAGAGAGAGAGAGAGAGAGAGAGAGAGAGAGAAGAGAGAGAGAGGGAAAGAGATAGAGAGAGAGAGAGAGAGAGAGAGAGAGAGAGAGAGAGAGAGAGAGAGAGAGAGAGAGAGAGAGAGAGAGAGCGACAGAGAAAGAGAAGGCGGATAGAGAGACGAGTACCCCTTGCACCTTGCAAGCACCTAACACGGCAGTGGCCGTGCGGTCCGAGCATGTCATGCCCCGTCTACACTTGCCCCGCATCGTGCACCTGCTCACGAGCACAGTATCTTACTCCCATCTATGAACCCATGTTTATAACCTCGTATAATGCAGAGATCCCAAGTGGGTGGCCACGAGAGGAATGCGATCCCTACGAGCTCGCAACTACAGACAGGGACGTGACCATCATGCGCAGTCGACTGCGGCATGCCTTGCACTGGTGGTGCTCCTGGTGTGACAGTAGCTTTATCCTCTCCGTCATCGCTAAAGGGTATTGGCTGCCCTGGAAGAATACAGCCCCCACACCCTTCGAGGACAACAACAATGCCGGAGTCTGCACGCACCTCGACTTTACTCGCGTCACAATTCGCGATCTTGTAGTGACCGGCGCTGCTGCAGTGATGGAGAAGAGAGACACACTAACATGTGTCAGCCCACTGAACATCGTGAAGCAACACGACAAATGCCGCCTCATCCTTGACCTGCGGAAAGTGAACACCCACCTTGAAGCCCCCAAGTTCAAGTACGAGGGTCTGAATCGTGTAGCCGAGCTCATCCGCCGAGATGACTGGATGTTTTCCATCGACCTGAAATCCGGATACCATCATGTCGAGATTCACCCTTCGTGTTGGCAGTTTTTGGGCTTCCAGTTCGAAGGCATCTACTACTCCTTTCGGTCACTGCCGTTCGGCCTTGCAACTGCTCCATTCGTTTTCACCCAACTAATTAAACAACTTGCCAAGCGATGGCGGGCAAGCGGTGTTAGAGTGGTCCCGTATGTTGACGACCAATTATTTCTCTGCGATTCCCACCCGCAAGCGTGCTCGACTCGTACGACATTCCTCCAGGACCTTAATGCAGCTGGCTTCGTCATTAACGGCAAAAAATCGCACCTCCACCCCTCGCGTCAGCTTCGCTTCCTCGGATTGGAAATCGACTCCACCCGCGGCACGTTCTCCGTCGGACTCGAGCGAAGGGCTCAACTCTTAACCACGCTTGAGGCCTTGATAACCCAAGGACAATCAGGAAGGCATATTCCCGTTCGATCCCTCGCAAGAGTTACAGGCATGCTCGCCTCTATGGCCCTAGCACTGGGCGCGACGGCACGAGCATTCAGCCACGAACTCCTGCGACTTATTGCCGACGCAACGTCCTGGCACTCCAAGGTCCTCCTGCACCCGGCAGCGGTGGACGAGCTATGTTTCTGGCTGGCGCAATTCGACAAATTTAACGGCGCCCCATTTCATCTCAGTCACCAGTTCGACGCTGTCATCCACGTGGATGCAAGCGCCCACAGTTGGGGCGCCATCCTCACGCCGCTCCCTGGGATCCCAATAGAAGCAAGCTCCCGCATGCCAGAAGACCTCCTACACACTTCCAGCACCCGAAGGGAACTCGAAGGTGTACTGTGGGCACTAAGAACCTTTGACACCCACATCTCCAAACGGCACGTGTTAGTTCGTGTGGACAACCAGGGGGTTGTATTCATACTGCGCAAAGGCGGCTCCAGCATCCCTGCACTCACACTACTTTGCCAGGCGATCATCGACCTTTGCTTAAAAAACCGGACACGCCTTGCCATCGAATGGATTCCCCGGGAGCTGAACGCGCACGCCGACGAACTCTCCAAAGTCTAGGACCGAGATGATTACTCACTCAAATCCCCATGGTTCCGACTCCTCGACCGCCGCCTGGGGCCTCACTCTGTCGACCTATTCGCGAATGTTCACAACGCTCAACTGGGGCGCTTCTGCTCCAAGATTCCTCACCCCAAGGCCACAGCAGTTGACGCCTTCTCGTTCAGCTGGCATGATGAACGCGGCTTCGCGTTTCCCCCCCCCCACCTCATCCCGGCTACTCTGCGCCACGCCCAACGCACCCACGCCGAGTTGACGTTGGTCATTCCCGAGTGGCCAGGAGCCTCTTGGTGGCCCCTACTGCAGCCAGCACCACGAACCTGGGCACGAGAAGTAAAGGCACATATTCCCCTCACTCAAGGCAGCCAATGCCTATCCCCAGGCACACACTCACTCGCCTTTGCTGGTCTCGGTTTTCCCAATAGCCCGATCATTGCGTTGCATGTGACATATAAAATATAACCCCACCGTGCCTGGGCTCTCTGTATTTCAGGCTTATTATCAAAACTACAGACACAGCTACTTCGGGTAATCAGTCATGTCCGCGCGCCATCCACCATAAGGACCTACGAGCCGTATTGGCTGAAGTTCCGCTCCTTTTGCACGAAGGTCAAGCTGAGCTACCTGCCTGCCACAGACACTACTCTAGCGCTCTACCTTGTCTATGCCCTCAACAATCAGGCCACAGTATCCGCCATATCCCTTACGTGCTCCGCCGTCGCATTTGCACATCGGATGACCGGAGAACCCTCTCCCACTAGCGGGCCTTTCACTTCACAAGTTCGTGAATTCTCCAAACGCCACGGCCCGTGCACCACCAGGACGAAGGAACCCTTGTCGCTCCACCAGGTGCACGACATGGCACACCCCTTCCTTGAGTCGAGCAGCCCGGCAGAATATCAGAAAAGACTGATCCCACTCCTCATGTTCGCGGCATTCCTCCGCTACTCCGACCTCGTCTCCATCCAGTGGAACGACATCCACTTCGACGAGGAGTCTATGTGGATCCTAATCCCGCACTCCAAGACGGATCAAGACGGCAAGGGCTCATGGATCCCAGTTGCTCCCACAACTGGGCCTTACTGCCCAGTCCGTTGCACTCAGCGGTTTCTGCAACCCGCGGGACACCCCACCTCCCCGCATGGACCACTGATCCGTGTCTTTGGCACCAGCGGCAGGGCAACCCCTCACGACAGCGCTCCGTCATACACAACCATCCGCAACTGGTGCTTCGAAGCCTTCGCCAAGGCTGGGCTTGACAACAGACACCTCGGCACTCACTCCTTCCGCAAGGGCGCCGCAACTGCGGCAGCTAACTTGGGTATCCCTGACCGGCTCTTCAAGCGACTCGGTCGCTGGCGTAGCGATACGGCCAAAGATCTCTACGTCACCATTGCGCAGGACCAGCTCCTTGCGGCATCCACACGCATCCAAGACGCGTCCGCCGCTCCATCGCCCAGACATCACCAGCTCTCCATCGAGCGACACCGCCAGCCCCTGCTTCACATGCCTCAGAAGACCCATATGAAATGAAGCACGCTGCCTTTGCCAAGGTGACCCAAGCAAGCTTTCACAATATGTAATTTTTTGAAAGCGTGTAACACTTTCTAAAAAATGTGTATTGTGAAAGTGTAGCGAGGGCCAACGCAGCAAGTTCAGCGTCGAAGCGCTACTCACCTTCTTTTGCCTACAAAAGAGGGACGTGAGGCCATTCGACCTCACCCACGTTCTTCATTTCTACTTCCAGTTTCGTTTTCCCCACCCACCCACCCTATTGGACGGTGTAATCTATTGGACGAGAACCATGTACTGTAGCCCATATGAAATGAAGCACGCTGCCTTTGCCAAGGTGACCCAAGCAAGCTTTCACAATCTCAACTTTGTGGGCGAACCGTCAATAAGCATAAGCTATGTTGGCCAAAAAACAACATATCTCCGTTTTTTTATTACCCTACTTCATCATGTGCTACTCTGTGCTCCCTCCTCTGCCTCTTGGGCCCTTTCTCACTTCCTGACTTAGCCTGGCCTTCCGCAGTGGTGCGCTTCAAACAATCAGCAACTTTCTTCAGACTGATGCTGGCCATCGGTGTGCATGCGTCTCCATCACCCTGTTCTTGCCCATGCTTCTTTTGTATCCCAGCTGCTCCGTCTCTTCTTTTTACCTCGTCCCCTCTTACCTTCTGGTCCCCTATTCCCTCCTGGTCCCCCCTTCCCTTCGGGCCCCCTCCTCCCTTCTGGCCCCCTCTTCCCTCCGGATCCCCCATTCCCTCCTCTTCCTTGTCCCAGCTGATTGATAACAGTGGCATGTCCCCTGGGCTATGCGCCAGCTCAGCCTCTCGCACCCCTGGGTTGTGTGCCAGCTCAGCATCCCGCACCAAACCACCCTGGCATGGTGCAGCCATCGTACCCGCCCCAGGCTCCTTGTGCTCCGATTCAGCAGTTTGCTTTCGGTTCCCATTCTGAGGACTTAGTTCTTGGGGTTTTTCCTTTGGAGTTTGCATTTGGGAACCTCTCCCCCGTGCAAGAAGGTCTTGCTGAAGCATGACGCCTCTCTGCTCCACGTGCTCCCTCTGCTCCCTCTGCTCCACGTGCTCCCTCTGCTCGAAGTGCACCATCTGCTCCCTCTGCTCCTTCTGCTCCCAGTTTTTTGCCCCTGGGTTTTGCCTCAGGTTGTCTCCCTCAGGAGCTTGCACCTGGCTTTCTCTACCCCGTGCGAGCAGGTCACCCTGAATCATGAAGCCTCGCTGCTCCACCTGCTCCCTTTGCTCCCTCTGCTCCACCTGCTCCTTTTGCTCAATTTGCTCCACCTGCTCCCTTTGCTCGCTCTGCTCCACCTGCTCCCGGTTCCCTGCTCCAGGAGTTTGCCTCTGGTTTTCTTTCTCAGGAGTTTGCATTTGAGATTCTCTCTCCCGTGCAAGCAGGTCCTGCTGAATCATCATGCCTCGCAGCTCCACGTGCCGCAACAGTGTTTCCAGCTCGCTTGGCCTCACGGGTTTTGTCAGGAAGTGGTCCATGCCAACCTGCCCATGACAATCAGAGAAAAGGGTTGGTATTTCGGAAAGGACTGATTTGGGAAAGTACAAATTACTCCACATTGCCCCCTTGCACTGCAGTTAACCTGGGCACACTTCATTCCAGAAGTGCACCGCACAACCTGAGGGCACGGCACATCATCCGAGTGCACCACACATTACCTGAGCTCACCGCACATTACCTGAGTGCACCGCAGTCTTTCATGCAGCAGAGCACTGGCAGTGAGAGCAACAATGTACGGCCGGCGCAGCGAACGTAGACTCTCGGACGGTGATGCAGATGCTGCTGCTTCTGATAATGCTGCTGCTTCTGTTGCTGATGCTGATACTGGTTCTCCTGGCGCTGGTGCTGATGCTGATCCTGCTGCCAGTGCTGTCGCTGTTGCTGCTGCTGCCAGTGCTGATTCTAGTGCCGAAGCGGATTGTGACGGTGATGCTGCTCCTGCCGGTGCTTCTGGGCCTGGAGTCTCCGCTGCTGCATAAAGGGGTGCTACCGGTGTCCCAAACGCTGCTGATATCCCTGGTGCCGCTGATACCCCTGGTGCTGCAGACGGTGGTCCAGACGCTGGTGATCTGCACACTTCTGCCACAGATAACGCCTGCTGCTCTTCCTCCTGCTCCTTCTCCCCCCCTCCTTTGGCCTACCCCGTGCACGGTGCAAGTACAGCCGTCGGATCTTCTCCGTGGCCTCATAGCCGTCCATCACAGGCATGTGGCAGTCCTGAATGGCGGGGATTCAATGGGGGGGTTGGGGGGCAGGGGGGGAGGGGGAAATGGAGAATTCGTCAACCCAGCACAAGCAACACAAGAAGGAACAATGTCAAGTTGGCAATTACAGCAAGCACACAACAAATCACGGAACACAACCACAACCACCATGAAAAACGACGTCATATTCCTTGGATTCGCGCGCCCGCACTGCCTCGGCCCCATTGGAAGCCACGTCGCTCACAAACCCCCAGGCTCTTGAGCATTCTAAGCGTGACCATCTGGTTTACCACGATGTCCTCTGCTATCAAGCACGCAACATGCCCTGTTCTCCTCACCTGGTCCACCGCATTGTCCACTGCTTTCGACATTTGAGGCGCCTCAATAAGAAGGGGCAGCAAACTCACCATGAAGACGACGCCATACTCCTTGGATTCGTGCGCCCGCACTGCCTCTGCCCCGTTGGAAGCCACGTCGCTCACCACCCCCAGGCTCTTGAGCATTCTCAGAATGACCATCTGGTTCACCGCATTGTCCTCTCTATCATAGTACTAGCAGACAGACACACAAGCAGCGCGCACACTCACTCACCATGAACACCACATCGTACTCCTTGGTCTCGCACGCCCGCACTGCCTCTGCTTAGTACTAGCAGACAGACACACAAGCGGCCCAACCAAACTCACCATGAACACCACATCATACTCCTTGGCCTCGCAGTTGTATTCTGAGTCGACTCAAAATACAACTGCACTAGCAGACAGACACACAAGCAGCGCGCACACTCACCATGAACACCACATCATACTCCTTGGCCTCGCACGCCCGCACTGCCTCTGCTCCATTCGAGGCCACGTCGCTGACCACCCCCAGGCTCTTGAGCATTCTCAGAATGACCATCTGGTTCACCGCGTTGTCCTCCGCTATCAAACACGCCAGCCCCTGACGCCGCTGCCTCCTCTCCTCCTCCACTTCCCTCTGCCTGCTCTCCTCCTCTTCTCTCTTCTTACTCCTCTCCTCTTCCACCTCCCTCCGCCTCCCGTTCTTCTCCTCCTCCTCCTCATCCTCCTCTTCTCTTTGCCTCCTCCTCCCCTCCTCCACTTCCATCTGCCTCCCCTCCTCCTCTTCTCTCTTCCGCCTCCTCCCCTCTGCCTGAATGTGGTCTTTCTGACCCTGAATCAGCTCTTGGCTTGACTCAAAAGCGCACTCATTGAATCTTGAGCCCTCTGCCTGTATGTGGTGCGTGTGGCCTTGTTGTAAAGGACATGAAAATGCACGCTGAATCGCTTCTACCCCTCCAACCACCCCTGGGGGTAACAATTCCCCCCTTCGTTTCTGCATATTCAGTAATCCGCTAGCTGCAGCTGTTGCAGCTGTACCTGCAGGTGATGCTCCAAGCATCCCACTTGAGGTTTTCGCATATGGGCCTGGTTCAGAGCCCAGATCAAGCCTCCCAGCAGCACCATCAGCACCAAGCACCCCTGAAGGTACCACGAACCCCCGACGCTTCTGAAAAATCAGTATTTCACTAGCAGCGGCGGTTGCAGCCGTAGCAGAAGTTGTAGCAGTTGTAGCAGCAGCTGCGGCTACGTTCCTCCCTTGAGTCATAGGCCCTCCCAGCCTTGCAATGGCGCTTAGCGAATGCTCCGGTGAAATTCTGTGACGATAGTTAAGGCTGGCACCAGGAGCAAGAGGGCTACCCCCAACATTGGGGCCTGCTGTTGCTGCAGCAGCAGCAGCAGAAGCAGCAGCAGCAGCAACACCACCACCACTAGCAGCAGTAGCAGCAGTAACACCACCACCACTAGCAGCAGTAGCAGCAGTAACATCACCACCACTAGCAGCAGTAGCAGCAGCAACAGGAGCATCAGTAGTTCCAGTCCCAGCAGCATTACCCATAACACCATCACCATCGAAGCAAGTCACTCGCACATCTAGGTTCGGCTTCAGCATCCCGTCACTTAGCAAAGAGTCTTTCTTAAGCGCACACCTCGCAGAACCAGTAGCAGTAGCAGCAGCAGCAGTAACCCCACAAGTACCAGCACCATCCGGATTCAGCATCCCGTCTCTTAGCAAAGAGTCTTCCTTAAGCGCGCACCTCGCAGCCGACGACACCGGAACGTTCAGCGTGAACGAAAACGTCGACCCGACGCCCACCGTGCTACTGAGGCGTATATCTCCCCCCATCAGGCTCACAAGTGATTTGGAGATGGCTAGGCCTAGCCCGGTGCCGCCGTAGCGGCGGGACGTGGAGGGATCGCCCTGCATGAATGCTCGGAAGAGGCGGTCGGCTGCGTCTTTGCTGATTCCCACTCCTGTGTCCGACACGCTGAACGTCAGCCACACCCGCTGCTGCGGTGGTTGTTGCTGGTGCGGCTGTTGCTGCTGCTGCTGCGGCGGCGGTTGCTGCTGCTGCTGCGGCGGTTGCTGCTGCTGGTGCTGCTGCCCAAGTGCAGCAGTGGGAGCAGTGTTACCAGCAGCAGCAGCAGCAGCAGCAGCAGCAGCAGGAGGAGGAGCAGGAGGAGGGGCAGGAGCAGGAGCAGCAGCACCACCAGTGCTGGTTCCAGCAGCAGTAGCAGCAGCAGCAGCAGCAGAAATGGCAGCAGCAGGCGGAGGAGGGGCAGAGGCAAGAGGGACAGTTATTCTGGAAGCCAGAACTTGCTCGATCTCTTCTTCCGTCGACCGCCTGATGTGCACGCGCACCTCCCCACTGCTGTGTGGCAACGTGCAAGGTCAAAGGCGGGGGGTGCAAGGTTGGAGGAAGGGGTGCAAGGTTCGAGGGAGGGGTGCAAGGTTAGAGGAAGGGTCACGAGGTTCAGTACAATCTGGCAGTCTCTGGCCACAACTGAGATGAAAACACTCAATTGAGCACTGAATTGAACCGCTCTTGAGCTCATCTGCTGCACTCATGTCTGTGTGAACTCGACTGCGTTGGACACGAGGTTGATTATAATCTGGCACAATCACCCTGGATCATCACTGATGAGGAACATGTAATAAGCCACTCCCTGGTGTAATCAAGAGCTGCACTCACGATTTTTGAGGCGCCTCAAAAATAAGCCACTCCTTGGTGTAATCAAGAGCTGCACTCACGTCTGTGTGAACTTGATGGCGTTGGACACGAGGTTGAGAATGATCTGGCGCAATCTCCCCGGGTCACCACTGATGATACGAGGCACGTGCGAGTCGATGCGGCTGTCCAGCTGGGGGGGGGAGGAGAAGGGGGGGGGAGAAAGGGGGGAGAGAGAGAGGTCAGGAGAGGGGAGAAGGCCTCCAGGCTGACAGCAGGAAGGGTAAGAAACAAAAGTAACGTAAGAAAGACAAGAAAGGTAAGAAACGAAAGTAACGTAAGAAAGACAAGAAGGGTACGAAACGTACGACAGGTAAGAAAGGTAAGAAAGAGGGCCACGAGAGGGAGAAAGGTAAGATGCTGGAAAAGCGACAAGAGGGGGAAAAGGGCACTAGCCAATCACATGTGCGACTCACCAGCAGTCCCTTCTCTGTTGCAGCCACGGACAACAGAGCAGTGGCTTCCTTGACACAGGTGGTGAGGCAGAAGGGAATGTCTTCCAGGGGCAGCGACTGGCTCTCGATCTTGGAGAGATCCAGCACGTCCGATATGATCCTCAGCAGGTTGTCCCCGGAGGTGCGGATGATGTCGAGGAAGGAGCGCTGCTCCTCCGATAGAGGGGTGTCTAGTAGGAGCTCGGCCACGCCAACCACGCCTGCCATCATGTTGGAAGGAAGAGAGAGTAAGGGAAGATTTTGGAGACTGTCCCCGGACGTGCGGATGATGTTGAGGAAGGAGCGCTGCTCCTCTGTGAGAGGGGTGTCTAGGAGCTGCTCGGCCACGCCCACCACGCCTGGCATCGTGCAGCACACAAGGGGGGGGGGAGGAGAGACTTAGAGGGTTGTTGCCGGACGTGCGGATGATGTCGAGGAACGAGCGCTGCTCCTCTGTGAGAGGGATGTCTAGGAGCTGCTCGGCCACACCTACCACGCCTGGCATCGTGCAGCACACAAGGGGGGGGAGGAGAGACTTAGAGGGTTGTTGCCGGACGTGCGGATGATGTCGAGGAACGAGCGCTGCTCCTCTGTGAGAGGGGTGTCTAGGAGCTGCTCGGCCACGCCCACCACGCCTGGCATCGTGCAGCACACAAGGGGGGGGAGGAGAGACTTAGAGGGTTGTTGCCGGACGTGCGGATGATGTCGAGGAACGAGCGCTGCTCCTCTGTGAGAGGGATGTCTAGGAGCTGCTCGGCCACGCCTACCACGCCTGGCATCGTGCAGCACACAAGGGGGGGGGAGGAGAGACTTAGAGGGTTGTTGCCGGACGTGCGGATGATGTCGAGGAACGAGCGCTGCTCCTCTGTGAGAGGGATGTCTAGGAGCTGCTCGGCCACGCCTACCACGCCTGGCATCGTGCAGCACACAAGGGGGGGGGAGGAGAGACTTAGAGGGTTGTTGCCGGACGTGCGGATGATGTCGAGGAAGGAGCGCTGCTCCTCTGTGAGAGGGGTGTCTAGGAGCTGCTCGGCCACGCCCACCACGCCTGGCATCGTGCAGCACACAAGGGGAGGAGAGGAGAGGCTTAGAGGGTTGTTGCCGGACGTGCGGATGATGTCGAGGAAGGATTGCTGCTCCTCTGTGAGAGTGGTGTCTAGGAGCAATTCTGCCACGCCCACCACGCCCACCACGCCCACCACGCCCACCACGTCCACCACGCCCACCACGCCTGGCATCATGTTGCGCGAGGAAGGGAGACTTTGGAGATTGTCTTTTGACATGCGGATGATGTGGAGGTGCGGATGATGTGGAGGAACGTCAAAAGACAATCTCCAAAGTGCGAACGAGCGCTGCTCCTCTGTGAGTGGTCAGTCCAGTTGTAGTAGTAGCAGCTCTGCCACAACGACGGCACACACCAATTAACCTTTCCACCGCACCATCCATGTGCACATCCCAGCCAGCCCTCACCGTTGGTGGGTGCATGCATGGGGTGCATGGGATCATACCATACCATCACTACGACCCCATCCACCAGCACCGCTCACGTGCGTTCACCTTCAGCCCTCACCGTTCATGGGTGTGCGGATCTCGTGGCTCATGTTTGCCAGAAAGATGCTCTTCGCCTCACTCGCCGCCTCTGCTGCCTCCTTGGCTCTCCTCAGCTCGTCCTCCTGCCTGAGCGTCTCTGTGAGGTCGTGCCACGTGCCCACAAACACACTGTCCCCGCCAACCCGCATGAGCTGATTGTGCGAGGGGGAAACGGGGAGGAAGGAAGAGAGGCAGGAGGGGAAGAAGACCACTATTCATCGCAAGCATTAAAAAGTAAAACAATTTCGGGTTACGAGTTACAGGACGGGAGGGGGGAGGGGAAAGGACAAGAAAGCAAGGAAGCAAAGGAGGCAGGCCGCAGGAGGAATGTGACATGATTATTCCTCCCACCGCTGATGCTGACTGCTTTTGAGGCGCCTCAAAAGGGGCCACGGCTCCTCCCACCGCTGATGCTGACTCCTCGGGAGACAGAAGGGGCGAGACGCACCCGAGGGTAATGAGTCTATTTTTGAGTCGACTAAAAAAAAGCAAGGGAGCAAAGGAGGCAGGAAGGAGGCACGATCATTCCTCCCACCGTTGAAGCTGACTCCTCGGGCGACAAAAGGGGTGAGGCGCACCCGAGGGCAACAGCCTATCATCACTACTGTACGGTGATGTATAACTTTCACCTACCTAGTAGCTAGCAAGCGATACCATTACCTGGTAGTAGTGTATCTGCAGCAGCAGCAGCAGCAGCAGCAGTTGTACCTGGTAGTGTATCTGGAGGGGTAAAGCCTCCCCGTCTCGCCTCAAATACGTCCACGTCACCACCACCTCCCCTCTCTCCACCACCTCCCGCCCAATCCGCGCCCCTTTCTCACTCGATCTCTCCCCGTCCGGCTGGACCTCGGGCGAGAGAGGGGGGGAGGCGCACCCGAGGGCAACGGCGTGCTGCAGGGCGGCTTTGGAGGGGTATCGAAGGAGCGAGAGGGCCGCTGGGTTGCAGTCGAGCAGCTGGTGGCTCATGCTGTACACCACTATCGGGTCCTGTTGTAAGGGGGATGGCAGGGGGGGGGGGGAGAGGGGGGAGGGGGGTTGGGGGGAGGGGATGGTGGGGGGAGGGAGGGGGTAATTAGGCAGTTTGAAGGAGGAAAGATGTAACAAGGAGAAGGAGAGGAGGAGATAGTGGGAAGGAGGAGGGGAGGGGGAGACCACTCACCTTGGACCGCTCGTAGATGCCTTTGAACAGCCCATACTCCTGTAGTGCCTCTTGCAACCAGCCCACAGCGTTGCCCGCCCAGCGGGCCACTCCATCCGCAGCATCGGAACCTTCTGCTGCTGGTCCTGCGCCTGCTCTTGCTCCTGATTCTCCTGCTGCTGCTCCTCCTCCCGCGCCTCCCCCTGCTCCTGCTTCCGCCGCTGCCTCCCATGCGCAGCCTCCTTCCGTTCCTTCTTGCCCATCCTTCGCGCGAGCTATCTCCTCAGCACCAGCAGCACCGTCCCCACATACCGCTTGCATCCCTTGCATCAGCTGCTGGCCCCACGCCACCAGCTCTTCCAGGGGAAGGTGTCGACTGGGGGAGAAGAGACTGGGGCCGGCAGGAGTAGCAGTGGCGGTGGCGGTGATGGTGGTTGCCGTGGCTCTGGCTGCGGTTGTGGCTGGGGCGGCAGAAGGGGAGCCAGAGGAGTTGCCGGGTTGAGATGCCTTTTCTGAAGGGTTGGAGGAGGCTTTGCTGAGGCGACAAACGGCCTGCATGGCTTGATTTAGAGCTGAGACCAGGCGCGCTGTGGTGGGGGGCTGCTGGGGCTGGGAAGGTGAGGCGGACAAGAGAGAGGGCGACGAGGGGAACGAGGGAGAGAGAAAGTGTGATGCAGAGAGTGGGGGAGTCTTTGCTGAGGCGACAAACGGCCTGCATGGCTTGGTTCTGAGCTGAGACCAGGCGCGCTGTGGTGGGGGGCTGCTGGGGCTGGGAAGGTGGGGCGGACACGAGAGAGCGAGAAGAGGAAAGCGAAGAACAGAGTGTGTGATGCAGAGAGTGGGGGAGTCTTTGCTGAGGCGACAAACGGCCTGCATGGCTTGGTTCTGAGCTGAGACCAGGCGCGCTGTGGTGGGGGGCTGCTGGGGCTGGGAAGGTGGGGCGGACACGAGAGAGCGAGAAGAGGAAAGCGAAGAACAGAGTGTGTGATGCAGAGAGTGGGGGAGCCGTTGCTGAGGCGACAAACGGCCTGAATGAGTTGTGTTAAAGCTGAAACCAGGTGCGCTGTGGCAGGGGATTGCTGGCGCTGGGAAAGTGGGGCGGAAAGAGGGCTGTACCCAGGTTTGAACGGACCGCTTGAGACGAGGAAAGCGAGGAAGAAAGGGAGAGTGTAAAGCAGTGTGGGAGAGGGAAGAGGGGTGGTGGGGGCACAGGGAGAGGGAGGGGGAGGAGGGGGGGGGGGAAGAGAGAAAGACAAGGATATGAATGGACTTTATGATGGATAGGTGGATGATGAATGCTTCTGAGATTTGAAGATACGAAGAAATCTAGGCAAACTCATAGTACACACGCACGCATACCTACTCACACACACACCCCTACTACTCACACACAAACTCCGCCACACACACACACGTATTACACACAAAAGCTTCCCTCTCTGGTTCGGTGCACAAGATGAAAGCCAAATTCTACCACCACCAGTTTCACTCCATCATTTCAAAGGAGCACCTGACGCTCAGACCAGTAGTACCTGTGAGGCTGGGTCCCCATGCGTCTTCCGATGAAAACTGGCAACCAGAATGTGTCCAGGACCCAACTGACCGCCTGTGCTGTCATTAGTAGTAACATCATCAGTGCCACTGGCAGTAGTAATTGTAATACTGGCATTCGTGTCTTGTAGAAGCTCCAGAGTGACTTTGACGGGAAACGAAACCTCCTGAAACGAGGCATCATGTTTAACAGGCTCTGGGGATTTGTTGTCAAGGAATGAAGCGGCGGCATCACCGAGATGGCACTGACAATTTTGAGCGTCAGAATCTGGCAAAACGAGTTCTCCTTGCAGGGTAATCAGCTGTTCTTTCTGGGATAGCAATGGAGCGATAACTCCCTCCCAGTTTGAGAGAAAGTTGAAGTTTCTATCGTGGGTTCTGATGTTTTTTGCTGTTTTTGCAGTTTCTGCTGTTTCTGCTTCCGAGGCAACCTGAAGGTCGTTCCACGCGAGTTTCCCCTTGGAGTCTACGAGAAAAATGTCGGTCAAGTGGAATTTCTTGAGCTGGTTTTCGCAGCAAGCCCCGAGTGCGGATAAAACGCCTATGCTGGCGGCAATAATGCGCGAATCTGCTAGCGAGAGCGCGAGCTGCAATGTTCCTTGGGATTGCCGAAGGAACTGAAATGCCATGTTTGGAAAAATAATGGAAAATATCAGTGGAAGGAAGAGCGTGGAGGAAACGACGGAGCGCACCAGTAGAAGCCACTCTATTAGGAGAAGTTTTCGCTGGAACTAGAGCAACGCTAAGTAGATTAGCACCCAGATCTGATTTCTTTGTACTGCTTTGCTATGGATCTCATCCTAGCCAACGTGGGCTCTGGGGCTATTGCTTGCAGGAGTGGAGGGCTGGGCTGGGGTGGGGTTACAGCGGAACATTCTGCAGCAGAACATTCTGCAGGCACGCGTGACTGGTGCACCGTAGATTCCCCCTCACAATTCGACTCCACTCCACTCCCATTCCCTGGCAGCTTCCACAAGTTCAATGCGGAGATTGCCCTCCAGATGGCATCAGATGTGCTGAGGATGCGGAGATAATAAAATCGGCGAGGAGGATGATGGGGTAAGATGTTGAGTAAGCTTGAGTTTGCTTTTAGAGGAATTGGGATCGGTTTAATGGTCTGGCTCCTGGTATTGATCAGAGTTGCGATGTGGTGGGCGGAGGGGCGGGCTGGCTGGGGGAAGCTCAACACAACCTGCTGCCTCTCCCTGCCCGATTTCTGTGGAGGTTGGGGAGGGAGAAGGGGTTTGCGTGGTCATATCGTTCACCGTCTAATTTTGACCGTTCGATCGGCCAGCACAATTCATCGAACGTAAGCTATGGATGGCGGTGAGTTTGTGCTGCGTTGGTCAAAAGCGGGCAGGGCACAGCAGCTGCTGAAAGGTGGTGGGCTGTTTCTCCCCCACACCTCCGCAAAAGCTGGATGTGATGCGACAGTTGGGCACAGTTGGGCAGCTAAGTAAGACATCCAGTTCCAACTGGAACGTAGGATTTTATAGCAATTCGATTACAGGCACAGCAAAGAAGCCAATGACAACAGAGAAAACAAAGTTGCCAATCTATTGCAGGACAAGGGAGGACATCATTGAAAACTTCCGCTGCCCTAAGTGGCAAAGAGCATCGAACATTTCCACAATGCTGGAAAGTAAGCTCTACTGTACACTGTGAAGTGCGCTGCTTGCATTTCCAACATTGGTTTGCAAGGAACCCTGAAACCAATTGCCATAGTCCTTGGAGAAGATTCTTGTCGACTCCAACAGGCTCCGGGCAGGCTCGATTTGTGTCCTTTGACCCCATCATGCTTCTCAATCCATACCCAAACCAATAGTTCGAGACAGGTTTTCGGTCTATCCTGGGCATTATTAAGTTCCTAATGAGACTCTTAGGTAAAAATGCACGTAGTAGCTAGTTTAACATGAGGTGATGGGTATGTAGTAACGTTAGCAGCTGAAGGTCGTGCAGTGGTCGCCAAATGGCCCAATGGGGGCATGTGCACTGCACATCACCTTGACAGGTCACGCCTCACGTCCTTTCGCTGTCCCGGTCGGCTGCTCAATGAGGTTTCCACCAGGGCTTAGGTTAGGTTTTTCAAGAGCTCTGGCGCTCAGGTCTCCCTTCGAAATTCACTCTGACATCCCAGGGTCCGAAGCTGCACTGCTCTGTTTTTTCAAGACCAGCCGAAGAAATGCTCAGAGGGTACACAATTCCAAGGATTTTGCTTGTGATTGTTCGAGGCTCTGTGGCACATCGGACTCACATGTGTTCGAGGGGTGTGTTGGGAGAAACTTATAAGGGGTGCGCCTTCGAGGAAATGCTTAGAGTTACTAAAAAATATTCTTTGAGTCTCCAGGGTCTCCTGGAGATCTTTCCAGATTTTGTCAGGGTCGGGTTAAAACAAATCCGGAGCAAATCAGGACTAGTCTGAAAACTACCATATAAGTTCAGTCAGTCAGGGCAAATGCCCTGATAAAATAAGCCCTGGTTTCCACCTTTTGCCCTCCAGGTGAGCAGCCTCGGCTCTCGTGTTTTGTCTGATTGAATTAACTTCCATCTTTTGCGGTCCTCATTTTTTGAGTTCTGCTCATTGCTCAATCACTGGGGGATCCCTTTTTAGCAATGAACATCACTGACTATGGGCCAACTATCCCTCATTACACTTCCATTAGAAACACCCCCCATCTAATTTGCACTCTAAGGACATGATTTTCTTATCTCACATACCTTTTAATAATTATAATTAGATGATTAACTCCAATTATAAACTAAAAACAATATTTTCAAGTATTACATGATTCTAGAAAATTACGTATAAAATGCATTGCCTTTAAACAATTATCATTATCGTATGGAAATATTATCCACATCCCTTTTTTTACTTACTTATATCCATGTCTTTGAGAAATATCTCAATCTGCCATAAACATTAGGCGCTTCCTCCTCTATATTTAAAGAGAGCTAATAGAATAAACTCGAGCTTCAAGGTACTTTGAATCTTGAGTTCGGATGAGTGAATTAGGAAGACTGAAACAGGACTGGCGAAACGAAACGGGACTGACAAGCGACCTGACAAGGTCGCACAACCCTCGCCGGTCCTTTGGGAGTTGGGGAAAAGGGTGGCAGACTCGTCACTCTGTTACCGTTCGAGCAAGAAAGAACAACAAACTATCAATGCCCCGATAGGGTAACTGTTTGTGACGGTCAAATATTATGAAAAGCCCTTACAGTGTGACGACATTGTGACAAAATGAAGTACATTAATCTCAAGAGTAGCAGAGCACTAAATTTCAAATTTCAGACGTAGTTTAAAAATTAAACACAAGCTCATTTATGGACAGCCAGACAGCTAGAGCGCTTTTTCTAGCCGACCAATGAGGATCTATTTACAATCTAGCACGCCCTACAGCCATGTCTCATTCTTCTACAAACCCGGCTACTGTGGCGGGATGGAAGTAAGGGGTGTGCTGGAAGCAGGGGGTAGGAGAAAAGAGGGAGGGGGGGTTGGACGTATGCAAAGAAGAACTCAGAGTGAGAAGGGTAGACGGGAGAGAGGGTGTGGGTGGAGGGGAGGGCATGAGGCAGAGGGGAAAAGCAAGGGTAATTGGGGGAGAGCACGAGCTAGGGGGTGAGAGCATGGGTGATCCCCCTTCCAGAGCCAGATTCCCCCCTCTCCTTCCCCCCCCCCCCCCCCAAAACAGTTCCCTTCCATCCCCCCCTCCAGAGCCCTCCTCCTCCCCTCCCCCACTCCAGAGCCCTCCTCCTCCCCTTCCCCCCTTCAGAGTTAACCCTTCCCTCTCCGATTTCCTCCTCCCCCTCCATACATAGCCCTCCCTCTCCCCCCTCCAGAGCCCTTTCTAAACCCCCCTCCCCCCCACCACCTTCTTTCCAACGTGACAAAATCCCTTTGAGCGGGAAGCAGGAAGCGGGAAGCGGGAATCAGAGACAGAATGGGTGAGGGGGGAGGGGTAGTGGGGGGTGGAGCATGGGCTGGGGGGAAAGCATGGAGGACAGGAAAAGAGCAGGCGAGATGAGGACCGGGGCTTGGGGAGGGAAGGCATTGGGACACTGCAATGGATTGGGAGGGCAGATGAGTATGGGTGGGGCCATGGAGAGTGAGTGTGCGCTCCCTGCTGAGCCCTCTTTCCTCTCCCCCAGTGCCCTCCATCCCTCTTTCTGTGCCCGCGTTCCCTCCTTTCAGTGCCCTTCTCCCGCTCGAAAGCCAGCCGCCCCACCAGTTGGGAAAAGGAAGGGCTAGGAGCGGGGTACAGACAGGATATTTGTGTGGATAGGAGCATGGGAGGGGGGAGTAAGCATGATTGAGGGGGAGTGAGCATGGGACCAGAGCGGGACTCCCCCCCTAACCAGAGCTCACCTCCCCCCTGTCTGAGCTCACCTTCCCCCCCCTGTCTGAGCTCACCTCCCCCCCTTGTCTGAGCTCACCTCCCCCCTTGTCTGAGCTCAACTTCCCCCCCTGTCTGAGCTCACCTCCCCCCTTGTCTAAGCTCACCTTCCCCCCTTGTCTGAGCTCACCTTCCCCCTTTGTCTAAGATCACCTCCCCCCTTGTTTGAGCTCACCTTCCCCCCCTGTCTGAGCTCACCTTGCCCCCTTGTCTGAGCTCACCTTCCCCCCTTATCTGAGCTCACCTCCCCCCTTGTATGAGCTCACCTTCCCCCCCTGTCTGAGCTCATCTCCCCTCTTGTTTACGCTCACCTTCCCCCCCTGTCTGAGCTCACCTCCCCCCTTGTCTGAGCTCACCTTCCCCCCCTGTTTGAGCTCACCTCCCCCCTTGTCTGAGCGCACCTTCCCCCCCTTGTCTGAACCGAGGATGACAAGAGCCCGCCTCGCACCACTGCCTTGTGAACCCCGATGCGCATCTGATGCCATGCCATGCCATCATGTGCAGTGCCATTCCATGCCACACCATGCCACGCCGCGCCATGCCATGCCATCACATGTAGTGCCATTCCACACCATGCCACACCGTGCCATGCCATGCCATGCCGCGCCGTGCTCAACCATGCCATCCCATGGATAAAAACACGCATCAAACCATGGCAGGGATACGCTAGGAGAAAGGAGGGGATGAGCGCAGCAGGAAGCAGGGAGTGGGACGCGCAAGCGGGGAGAGGGGAAAGCGTTTCGCAGGCTGCTGGTAGCGCGCAGTAGCAGCAGCGGGAAGTGACAAATGGGCAGCGATGAGCGACGGCGCCGAAAACGAGCAGCAGATGCCCATCCAAGCCGGGAAAGCGTGGAAGCTAGGAAGCGGGGTTGCGGTGAAGCATCTGGGTAAAAGGGGAGCTGGGACGCAGGAACGCGGGAAAGCGGGGGGGGTTTGGAAGCGGGATAGCAGGGAAGCGAGAAAGCGAATTTGCGATAGGGGACCAGGGTGAAGCCATAGGTTAGGGGGACGTGGGCTTTGTCTCTAATAAACCGCACTATAAGCACACACTTTAAAGTTGGCGGTTGGCACTGTGTTTGGGGGCGTAAATGGCGGGGAAGGAGCCATGGCCAGTGAGCACAGAATAAGCACCAGGAAGCTTTGGATCTTGGTGGCAGGGAGAAGCTTTTCTGCCGGGCGAGCCAGGTGAGTCAATCAGAAACTCCCCTCTACCAATTCCCCCCCCCCCCCTCTCGCCCCAATTGGGTTACCCAGTTTGTTTTGTGCGTCGGCTGGTTGGTTTCGCCACTCAGCAGTATAAGGAGATTCCATTTTCCTTACTCGGCTCGACTACAGCGCATACGCCCTCGACTCTCGGAAGTCCAGGCCCGGCCGACTTCTTTGGTCCCGAACCACTTTGCGAACCCAAACCTAGACGCGCGGCGATTCCGCAGCTTTCGCCAATCGGATCGCCCCAACATATTCGCGAGGTTCTCGGCTAGCCCTGTTCATGGCTATAAAT